TCCAGGAGAGCTACTGAGTCAGGCCAACAAGGTGGGGTGTCCGCTGTGTTCCCACTTGCCTGCTCCGTCTCACCCAACCCCCGGAGCGGGGGCTGAGCGTCCGCGGCTTCTGAAGCTCCTGCATCACTGAGACATGCTTCTTCATGCTGACTGCTGGCTTTCAACACACCTGCCGGCTCCTGCTGGGACTTGTTCAGCCCCTGTTCGGCACAGCAATTCTCCCTTCCGCTCAAGAGACCCACAGGAGGCGAGTCCCCGGCGGGCAGACTGCCACCGCATGCTTCCTCTTGCTCACCCTGCCCTAGCACGGGCAACCCCCGTCCCGTTGGTGCTGATGACTCTGGCTGCTCGGTCACAGGACTTTCCGGAACCGTGTCCCTGGGAGCTGAACTTGGAGCATCACGCAGACCGTCTTTGGGGAGCGCACGTTGAAGCTCTGATCTGGAAGCCTGCTCCTCTGTTCCATACGGAGGCAAGCACGCATCCTCCGGAGGCCCCGCAGGTATTTGAGGAGCATCTGAGCCCACGTTCCTAAAACCTAGACCCCCTGGGTAAGTCTCCTTCTCACGTTCACCGTGCTGGGGCTTCTCCCTGAGCATGTCAAAGATGGATGCTTCTGGGTCTGATTGCAAGGGCTGGAGAGGGGTCTCAGAAGACACCCAGGGCCCCTCAGAAGCAGCTCCTTGTATCCGGGGGTCCCCCAGGCAGGGCGGCTCTCCCTGCCGACCTTGCTCCAGGCTGAGCATCGCGAGCCCAGAGTCCACTGCCAAATTCTCCCCCTCGGGGGGTGGCCCATCAGCATGGACTTCCTGACCAGCTGCCTCACGCCCCAGCCCACAAGGCTGGCCCGGGGATGTCAGCAAAGCCTCCCCGGCACAGCTGCCGGGCCTCGGCGCAGATGGGGGGCTCCTCATCTTTGTCTCCGAAGTGCTCTCCGCCTCCTGGGCTTTGGGGTTGACCTCTGCAGCAGGAGCTGACAGGAAATCTGATTTCTCAGATTCTAAAGCAGGAAGATAGTCCATTCTTTCCAACCCCCCCACGTCCTGAAGGGTGTCGGGACACTGGGTCTGCAACCCTGGCCCTGCCCAGACGGCTTCTTCGGGAAGAATGTGTTCACCAGTTCCGTCCGGCCCAGGGGGCAGGAGGAGATCCTTCCCAGGGAGCTTGCGCAGGGAGCCAGAGGCATGGACCGCGCGGGCTTCTCCCATCATCCCACAGGCCACCGAGCTCCCAGCTGCATCTTTTGATGGAGAGCCAGGCCTGTCGGGGTGCCCAGGACCCTCCTTCTGGAGGGGCTGTGCCGAGTCCGTGCCGGGATGCGCTCTGCTCTCCACGTCATGGCTTAGCTTCGAAACCTCGTCTTTTTCTACCTCTGGGTCGGGCTTGCGGCAGAAGGCCCCGGGTTGCTCTCCCCATGGGTTCTCAAGATCTCTACTGTCCAGTGGCTGTGTGACTTCTTCCTGTCCCCTAGAGTTGGCCCCAGGTGGTCTGCTCTCCTCCTCAGCCACTGCTGGGCTTTCAGGGGTCACGGCTTCATCCTTTGGCCCCAGTGACTTTCTGGCACTTTCATCTGATGCACTGGGTAGGGCGGGGGGCGGTACCTCTTGTTGGACTTCATGGTCCCTCGTTGAGAGCTCTCCCCTGTCCTCCGGGGGCACAGGGTCAGGACCCTCTCCAGGGCTCCCTTCTAGACCTTCTCCCTCATTTCTGAGATCTGATGTGTGCTTCTCCCGTCCCGTCAGCCCTTCGGCCAGATCTGTAAGAACTGGCATCGCAGTCCCGGAAACCATCTCTCTGGTCGACCAGCCGGGCTCTTCTGCAGCAGCCGAGGCCCCGGCAGCGGGCTGCAAAGTGGAGACTGAAGGTGGATGTGCATCCTCCGTCGGGGCCTGTGGGGAAGGCTCGGCGCTCACAAGCGAAGCCCCTGCGGGTCGGTTGCCTGCAGAAGCACAGACAGCTATACTGGGATCGCCTCCCATTCCCGCTGTCTCCAAGTGTCCCCAAGCACCGCTGGCATCCACGGTCTCCTTCCGAGAGTCCCCGGGCCCGGGTGCCAGCACAGGACTCGGTGAATCCCAGGGCAGCTCCGGGTGCTCCAGATGTGCTCCCATTTGCTGCTGGCAGCTTTCCCAGGAATTGGTGCCGGCCTCTCTGGCAGCCCCTGAGTTGTTCCCAGTGGGGCGGCAGGCCCCGAGGAGTCCCGAGTCATCAGCTAAAGCCTGAGGCAGTGCCTCCACTTGGCAGGTTTCTCTGTCTAAGGCTCTGGGCGCCGGATCTTGTGGAGTCGGGGTCTCGGGCTTTGTGGGGGGCTCTTCCAGGCCAGCTGAGCTCTCCCCGTCTGGTTGAGCTGCAGCTGGGGCCTTCGGGGCCGCTGGTATGGAAGCCGCCCCCTGCCTGGACTCTGCGAGGGGAAGGCCACCCGCCACCTCTTTCCCTTGGGACTCGGAGCCGCCAGGCTGGCCGTCTTCTCCACAAAGCTGTCCCTTCATCAGCTCTTGAGGAGGTGCTGCCGAAATTGCTGGCAACTGGTCAGTGCTCCTGGAGGAAGATAACTTATGTCCCTCTTCCTTCAGATGTCCCCCTCTGCCCTGGGCACTGGGGACGATGGCACCCACACTGCACTGAGTAGAACTGTCCCCTTCAGGGACAAACGCTGTTGGGACATCCCCATGGGCATTTGGGGAAGGTTCCTTCCTGGGGTGTTGAATTAGGGGCCAGTCTTCAGGTGCTGCTCCGGGGCTTGGCAGGCAACCTTCCGGGGGGCCCTCGGCAATGGGCGTGGAGGCTGGGGGGCACTCAAACTCCCAGGGCACTGGTGGCCAGAGCAGTGGAGAACCTTCTGGGCCTCTGGCTTCCTGTGGGCATTTGCTCGGCCCTGTCACTTCTGGGGACAGGAAGCACGGATCCAGGCTGGCGGTACCTTCAGAAGTGGGACAGGAGGTTCGGAGCCCAGCACTGCCAACAATGAAAACATTGGATGTTTCATTCATTCTCATGGATGTGAGGCCAGAGCCCCATCACAAGCAGAATCACCCCCACCCCCACCTTTTCTCCCACTAAAGACCACAAAGCACACCATCCCCGTGTAGCTCACTCCTCGCCACGAAGAGACCTCACTCCCCAGTCCTCCCCCTCCCATAACCATCACACAAGCCTTTGCTTTCTCCAAAAATCAATTCGGGGGCATCACACACATGCAGCTTGGAGCTTTCCGTGTTGCTCGGCTGTGAATAGGGAAATATGAAAACAAAATCCCAGTAGTCCAAAACGCAGGAGAATGAAAGTTTTTAATATGTATAAACCACAATGGAGGGTTTGAACCAGTTCCATGTAACTTACAAGGTCGGTCCTAAGTACATATGTGAACCCTTAGATGTTCAGGAAAAAGGCACAAGTGGGCAAAGCCATGCTTTGAAATAAAGAAGTATTCTTGGGTCACCTGGGTGGCTCAGTCGGTGAAGCCTCTGACTCTTCAATTTGGCTCAGGTCATGATCTTGTGGTCTGTGAGTTTAAGCCCTGAGTCGGGCTCCATGCTGACAGCACAGAGCCCGCTTTTGGGATTCTCAATCTCTCCCTCTCTCTCTGCCCCTCTCCCCCACTTGCACTCTAAATAAATTAATACATACATAAATACATAAACTTAAAAAAAGAGAGATAAAGGGTTATTCTTGATAAAGGTTGACTTGATTCTTTAAAAAAAAATTTTTTTTTAACGTTTGTTTATTTTTGACAGAGACAGAGACAGAATGTGACCGGGTTAGGGGCAGAGAGAGAGCGAGACACAGAATCTGAAGCAGGCTCCAGGCTCCGAGCTGTCAGCACAGAGCCCGACGTGGGGCTCGAACTCATGAGCTGTGAGATCATGACCTGAGCCGAAGTCAGATGCTCAACCGACTGAGCCACCCAGGCGCCCCAAAAAAGTTGACTCGATTCTTAAATTCAACATGCGGTACTGTGAGGGGCATAATCCAAACATCAAGTCTGCTTAGGTCTGCAGTTTCTGCCTGTGACCTATATATAAAACTAAAAGCTGAATTACCTTCATACCCATATCTGTCCTAACTTGAACTTACTTTGCTGGACAGCATGTGAACCCTGCAGGCAACTTGGGGGAACGTGGCTAAGAATGACGGATTTGCTGTAGGTATCCAGCTATCGGGTTACTGTAAATTAGTTCATCACCTGCCATATCTGGACTGGGCTTTTCAATTCTACGTGGTTTTTCTTAAGCACATTTAAAAATGTTTTTAAATAATACATGGCCAATACAAAATTTTGAAAATGTAGGAAAAATGTCTCCCACATGCTTGCCACTTGGAGTGTTCTGACGAATTTCCTTTTCTTCCTACACAAGTTTTTAAAGGATGCAGTTTTGTTATTCTGACATAGCTGTGATTCTATGTACTTGTTATGATCACATACCTTTCACTGCCAAGAGAAATTGCTCAAGACAAAGTTAATAGAAGTATGGTTTTTCCAGGGCTTTTACCATGTTTTTAAAAATTATTATAGGGAGAAAGATCTAGGGAATGGTTTTGTAAGTGTTATATATATATACACATTCATGTATTCATACACCCACAGTGCTTTGCTTTTTTTAAAAATGTTTATTTTATTTTATTGAGAGAGAGAGAGAGAGAGAGAGAGAGAGAGAGAGTAAATGCATGTGAGCAGGGGAGGGGAAGAGAGAGAAGGGGACAGAGGATCTGAAGTGGGCTCTGTGCTGACAGCAGAGAGCCTGACACGGGGCTCGAACTCACAAACTGTGAGATCATGACCTGAGCCAAAGTCAGAGGCTCTGAGCCACCCAGGCGCCCCTCACACACCCACAGTGTTTTGAATGTGACCAGAGGAAAGATTCTACTCTACATGCTCACTTCCAAAATTCCAGCTTTGCAATGCAAGGCAATGCATATACATTCATTTATCAGGGACACACACAGTGGCAAGGTGGAAAACATTCCTGTTAAAATTTAGAAATTGCAATGTGTCCTAAAATTTAGAAATTGCAAAATCCATATATAACCCCCAAGGTGACTGTATTTGGGGATAGGGTCACTAAGGTTAAATAAAGTCACACGAGCCAAGTCCTAATCCAACATGGGTGGTGTTCTTATCAGAAAAGGAAGAGACACCAGGAGTGCGTCACACAGACAAGAGGCCATGAGAGGTGACAAGTGCGTCACACAGACAAGAGGCCACGAGAGGACACAGCCAGGAGCCACCGTCTGCGGGCCGAGAAGAAAGGTCTCATCTGAAACCACCACCCCTACCCTTGCAATTCCAGCTCCTAGAACAGTGAGAAAATAAATTTCTTCTGCCAAAGCCCCTCAATCTGTGGCAGTGTAAGCCGACCAATACAACAGGCATATGGGTGTTTATCGTACTATCCTTGCCACATTTTGAGGTTTCCAATTTTCCCAGCTGAGAAGTTGGGAACATAATGTACGCTGCCCCCAGGAATAAAAACTTCTCCAAAAGGGAACCTGAATGTTTGTGTCCCCCCAGTTCATGTGTCGAAATCTGATCCCCAAGGTGATGGTATTGGGAGGTGGGGCCTTTGGGAGGTGACTTGGTCCTGATTCTGGAGCCCCCATGAATGGGATTAGTGGCCTTATGAACGAGTCCCCGGAGAGCTCCCTTGTCCCTTCGGTCTTGTGAGGACGCAGTGAAAAAACGTCCATCCGTGAACCAGGAAGCAGGCTCTCGGCAGACGGAATCTGTTGGCACCTTGATGTTGGGTATCCTGCCTCCAGAACTGTGATCAACCAATACCTGTTGTTTACGCCCCTAGTCTCTTTCCCTGACTCTATTCCAGCCTCTCCCCAGGCCCCTCACCTATGAAATGTGCTTGACATCTTCGAAGAGGGTATGTATACACCATCACAGCACCACTAATCCTTATTTAATGCCTGTTCCCACACATATAACACAGGAATGATGTGCTGAAAATATTTAAGATGGGCCCAAGAAAGAGTTGGCTACTGTCTCAACGAGATTCATGTTTTCAGACCCCTTCAGGACTGACAAGGGCAAAAAGAGAAAACTCAGGGGGTGAGTTGTCCAGACCCCTGTAATCCTCAGCTGGTCACACGGACAGCTGCGCCCAGAAAGCCCTGGCCCAGCATTGACTCTGTCTGCCTCAGGAAGCACCAGGCTCGGAGGGCTCACAAGCCACAGGGCTGTTGGCTCATGGATTGTTCTGGAACCAACAACTGTGCACTCCACATCTGGCCAGCTTCCTTTTAACGAGCACTTTGCATTTTGTGTCCCACCCACAAACGAGGGGTCTCACCATTTAGAAGTTAATGAGATCAGTGGTGTGTAATTTGGAAATGAAGCACTCCTCCATACGTCTGATTGATCCAGAAGCACAGAACACAGCCCCCCGCCCCCAACACACCGGTAATGACACAAATAAAACTACTTCCTTGTCCCCGCCTCTGACAGGAGCTGCCAGCTTAGAGGGAGTGTGTGGCTTCCCTTCAGGTAGACTGAGGGACAAGATGATAGATGCACTCAACTTGGGCACCTTGAAAACCTGTGAGTCTTATCAGACAACCACCGGGAGCAAATTCCCACCGCGCGTGGGACACACGGCTCCCCCGCCTCCCTCCTCTAATAAAAGCCCTGCTTGGGTTATTTAGCATAAGCTAAGCACCAGCAATTTCTTTGATTATCCATCTGAAGCAATTTTTAAAACCAGATTAAAGCCGCTTGTCAGAAGCAGATTTGCCCAAGGGCAGGAAAAATTCTGAGAACCGATCTGTGAGGGCTCTTCAGTAACTGAAGGTTACATAATGTCCTTTTATGCTTCAAGATTGTATCAGCATGTGTGGGACGGCCATCCAGCTCAGAATCCAAAGGCCGGCTCTTGAGGGCTGGGCAGCGTAGACCTCTCAATGGAGGCTTTGCAGCCTGAAGGGGGCGCTGCCGTTGAGTGGAAGTTGCAGGATGAGGCCCGATGCAGGCCCCTTGGTGCAGACCAGAGGCCCCCAGCACAACAAACGGAGTAGCGTGGGCTAAAAGGTGATTTCCTGCAGCAAAATTCGGAGCAGACAACAGAGGTGCAGAAAAGGCCGTCCCCACTACCCTGGCTGGAGACAATCACATCCAGATGGGCTCCTAAAGACACAGTTCTGAGGACATACGCTTGAACCACCCAGGAATGTTCAGAGAAGGAGGCCGTTTGAGGAAAAACAAGCGTGGCCCCTGAACTACCAGGGTTGAAGGGAACCAGCAAAACCATAAAGCATCACTGTCACGATGGAGAGGTGGCCACATACTGAGCATTTATCAAGGCCAGGCCCACGCTAAGCCCTTTTCAGTTATGACTGTGTTTAATGCACTCAGTAGCCCCGCAGAATGGATAGCCCTTACTGCCCACATGTAGAAATATTCCCAGAGAGGTTTAAGACTGGACTCAGGGTCTCGGAGCTCCTGATGCGAAGCAAGATCAACTCCCGCACCGCCTGGCTCCAGGGCCCTGACACCTCCCGCTTCCCTGTGCTTGCTGGCCTCACCTCTTCTGCACGGGCACTGCTTCTCCCATTCACTCTGGCTGCATTATTCTGTCTTCCGGTCTGCAGCCGGAGCGATGGCTTAGAAATAAAAGCCTGATCCCATCAGCCTCGTGGGAAGACTCTCCGATGGCTTCATTTTGCAATCAGCTGTGGCCCCAGCCTGCCTTTCCTGTCTCATCCCACTCGGAGCTCCCCATCCGTGCATCTGCCTGGAGCCCAGAGCCCAGAGCCCAGAGCCCTCCTACTCTTCCCCAGCAGGTCTCAGTTCCACTCATCACTTGTCAACAAAGCCTTCCTGACCTCTGGGATCAGATCTTCTTTCACAGGCCCACCTAGTGATGGCTGTAGTCACAGTTGCCACAACATGGATTGATGACCATTCCCTCCACTGGAGGATAATGAAGACTGAGTCTTTTCTCTTTTCAATATTGTATCCTCAGTATGTAGGGTATAGCAAACATTGAATATATGAATGTATGAGTAGATGGATGGGTGATTGGATGAATGCTCGGGCGGATGGATCATTGGGTGGATAGATGGTTGGGTAGATGGATGGGTGATTGGTAGATGGACGGTTGGATGGATGGATGGATAAATGAATGATTGGTGGATGGATGCTTGGTGGATGGATGATTGGGTAGGTGGATGGTTGGGTAAATGGATGGGTGAGTGAATGGATGGTTGAGTGGATGGACAGCTGGGTAGGTGGATGGGTGGATGGGCAGATAAAAATAAACCCAAAACAAGGATTCCAAATATACAGAAATGCTCCCAAATCACAGTTGTTTGACTTGAACGTTAGGAATGCTCTTTTCTTCCAGGCAACCCTAGCATTCTAGCAACCTGTTTAGTCCAAACACTTCATTTTACAGATGAGGGAAATGAGGCTCAGAAAAGGCAACACACTTTTGTTTAAATGCTTCTTCCAAAGAAGTGAGGTTAAGGCCCTACGCGCACTGGTGGGTCTGATGAACTAGGGGGTGTGCTGCAAGAAATTTGTTACTAATTATAAAGTACAGAAGTCTGTGAATGATTTGTTATTTTCATAAATTAGTGCAATTTCCCCACATCACATCATCACTGTTACTCACTGCATTCCAATGTTCTTTCTAGAAAAGAAAAGCAAGGAGTAAAGAGAGATCCTGTGAGTTCGACTGCAGCCCCTGGGAACCACCAATCCTAATGCACTATCCCCAGTCGTGGCAGCTGGGGTGGTGATGAGGGGGCCCGGGGCCGGGGGCGGTCCTTGGCTGTGTGCGTTCCTGTCTCGGCCCACCAATTTGGTGTTTTTCTGACACAGCTGAGCTCTCAGAGAAGTATGACACTTCTGCCCTATTCTCCCTTAGCGTAATCTCTCGGGAGGAGGTGAGACTCCTCTGCTTGGTGACTTGGAGAAAGCAGCCCCCATAGGTACCCTTCTCCTCCCCCAGCTGCCTGCCATGTGACAACCTCTCTGGGGCTGGCCCTCCCCAGCCTTTGTGGCCCCCTGCACTTGTACACAGCCTGGCACTGGGTGTGGAGGGTTAGTTCAGGGGGCAGTATTGGGAGCAGCCATTCTGACTTGCTTCCCTGATTCCCCTCCACCATGGTAAGACCCCCTTACTCTCTGGAACAGTGCAGACACTCTCACCGGGCTCTGTGTTAGGAACCCCCCCTCCGCCTCCCTCCATGGAGGGACCCTTCCTGGGATGCATATGCTCCCTTTTCTATTCTCCTAAAGCCTGTGTGCAGACTCTCTCTCAGTACCTACACGCTGTCCTATTTGTTTGCTCACTTATTTTCCTGCTGGGTATGACCTCCTGGAGGCTAAAGGGAATTCATCTCATTTGTTTTTATATCTCGGTCTAGCACCCGTACGTACTCTGCCGAATGAATCGTGGAATGATGGAATGAGTCTATAAATGAGGAATAATTTTGTTTACTGACATAAAAACCTGCTTACTTGAGTTAAGTCCCATACTGTGAGATGGATCCCTATTCCAGGGAGTTTGGGAAAGGATTTCTGTTCTAAGTGATTTGTGCAGAGGAAAGAATTCTCAGGTTAATAAAGAGAGGGAAATTGTCAAGTCCCAACAACTAAACATGGCTGGAACATGGCTGAGTCAGTTAAGCATCTGACTCTTGATTTTGGCGCAGGTCATGATCTCACATGTTCATGAGTTTGAGCCTTGCATCAGGCTCTGCACTGGCAGCATGGAGCCTGCTTGGGCTCCTCTCTCTCTCTCTCTCTCTCTCTCTCTCTCTCTCTCTCTCTATCTTTCTCTCTCTCCTTCGCTCTCTGCCCCTTCACTGCTCATGCAAGCACTCTCTCTCTTTCTCAAAATAAGTAAACTTCAAAAAACAAACAAAAACACAATTAAACATGGTATTTCATGGAGAAAGCCACCCCCTCAGAAAATTCTTTGCGATTCCAGCAGATTAAGTCCAATCTACACACACGATCTTAACTTGTCCAAACAGTGCTTCCTGCACTGAGGCCTAGGAGCCCACTGACCTTAGCAGCCTTGTCAGACTCAGCTTTGTATTTTTAATCCAGTTTTAACTCTTTCTTATGCTCAGTCTGTGATAGAAAAAACAAAGACCACAAGGCTTGAGCAGCCCATGCAATAGGCGGAAGGAAAATATTGTTAGGTTCTAAAGAGTTATGGGGGAGAGGGATGTGTGTGTGAGAGGGTGTTTTCCTTACTATTTCATCTGCACTCTGCCACATGAACTGTTACCTGACTTCAAGGTCATGGTCGGTGTCAGTCTGCTTGTGGGAATCCATCATTCGGCATAGCATAGGGAGGAAACCCGGCAACTGAATTCCAAGGAAAATTCAAAAATGATCTTCTAACCAATTTTTTCAGCATCTTTCTCGTAGCGTCCAAAAGACAGCAGAATGACCCAATTTTGTGCTTCCCAGACTGATTGCTGGAAGGGCTGACGGATTGTTGCACACACGAGCTCACCATCGCTGGCACAAACC